AGGGCGGCTGAGCCCCAGCACCCTCCTCCCTCTCCGTGAGCCGATCAGGGGGTGCCCCATGGCTACGCTCACGCCTGTTTTTGACCCACACTGACCTCCCTTGGTGCTCCCTCTCCAGCCATGGGTCTGCCATGTCTGTGGGGACGGCTCCCGAATGTACATTTCCAGCTCGACCTTATTCCCCTGAACTCCAAGCTTGAACAGCCAACGGGCGTGGTGAACATCCATCAGGCATCTCTCTACACTGGGTTTCCTGGACACAGAGTGGGAGGCAAGTGGGGAGACAGGGAGAAGGACAGCAAGTGTGAGCGAGGGAGTGACTGAGCTGGCACTGTCCCCAGAGACCACGGGACCTCGGGAGGTCTGTCCGCAGGAAAGAAAGGAAACAACGGACCCGCCAGCTCCCAGCTCCTTGGGCTGTCACTGCGAACCAGCGCGGACGGCAGACCAGCACTCGGGGCTGGCAGCGAGGCAGGTGCCCAGGAGAGGACCCAGCGGCACCAGGACCAAGTGTAGCCCCCTCCCCCCATGGAACCAAAGGACCAGGCCAGGACCAGGGCCTGAGCAGGGGGCCTTCGGAAGCCAGGGGGCTGCTGTCCAGGAAGATCGGTGCTGACAGCCTTTACCATAAATGGCCAAGTTGGGGTCCTCCCATTGAAACTTGCCCCACCAGCACCTCCTATACCGCTCCCCCAGCCCCTCAGAAACCCGTGCCCACTCCAGTGGGCAAGATGGGTCTGAGGCACCACTGGGCTCCCTCTTCCCGGGTGCCACCTCTCCCATCTGTCAACCTTCGCTTCCTCCAAACCCTGCCGTTCTGAGTCTGCTCTTTCGAAGCCTCAGGCACTTGGACTTTAGTTGGATAACAGGTCACGGTCTTACCCCTCCACAGCGGCAGGGGGCACCCAGGGTGGCAACCCCCCGGGGGTGCTCAGGCCGGTGCCGGGAGGGGTGAGCCGTGGAGGTGGAACAGGGCCCCCCCCGCCCCCCTCAGTCCTTCCACATGAGCATAGAGATGGTTTAAAATCCCACCCAAATGTAGGAGATGCGCTGGTCTCTGTAGAGTTTATGGTTGGTAAGTGGTTAAGAACATTAGGAGGGTTCTGGATATTTTTCTTAAAGAGCATTACTAGTTCGCCCCAGCTGGTGTAGCTCAGTGGTTGAGCGTCGACCCATGAGCTAGGAGGTCACGCTCAGGGCACATGCCTGGGTTTCCCGGGCGACCCCCAGTAGCGGGCGTGCAGGAGGCAGCTGGTCCATGTTCCTCTCTCATGACTGAAGTTCCTCTCTCTCTCTCTCCCTCTGCCTTCTTCTCTCTAAACATCAATACAAACATATCTTTAAAAATTCCCCCAGAGACAGCTTTAAAAATTAGAGCAGTTAAATGTCTAAAACTGCATTTAAACCTGAGCGTTTTAAAAATAAGATTTTGCTTTTCCCAGGGGGAGCACCTCATGTTTGTGATACCTGGGCCTTCCGGGGGGGCAGTTTACTCTCTCGCCCCCCCTCCCCCGCTGTGCTGGGCTGGGCTGGGCTCTGCACTCAGCTTCCGGGGAGGGTCAGGCCTCGCACTCCGGGAGGCGGGGCCTGCTGAGCTCTATCACAAGGGGCATAAGATGCAAAACTGTAAAGCGCAACAGCAAAGGAGGCGACGAGGCCACTTTCAGAACAACCTTCCAACTCAGCATTACAAGCAGGAAAGAAGCTTCCCCTCGGAGGTAACATTATTTTCTCTACCGAGTGGGTTTCCTGTTAAATGAACACCACGTAACCGATGGAGAGGAAATAATGGGCCACAGTCTCGGGGGGCAGGGGGGCCTTTTTCCTGGGGACCCGCCCTGCGCAGACCCTGCTCTGGGGGCCACAGCCTCTGGGCGGAACCAGGAAGCCGGCCCCTGGGGAGGAGTGCCCGCCCCCCACTTCGGACCCCCCAGCACCGCCCGGGCTCAGCCGCAGGAGGCCCTGCCCACCCACTCCACGGCCACCCGGGGGTGGGAACAGGCCTGGCCGCTGCCCTCCTGTCCCCGCGCCCAAAGCTGCCACACGGGCTCAGTGCCCGCTTCCCCCTAAACGAGCGCTGGGCGGCGGGAGTCCTCCGGGCCTCAGTTCCCCGCGGCAGTGGGAACAGACCCCCTCCCTGCGGTTCTGTGGGGAGAGAGGTTTCTCGGTGAGAAGCTCAGCTCCTGGGAAAGGTGGTACAGGTCTGAGCCTGAGCCAGGCCAGCCCTTACCTGGGGGAGGGAAAGGAAAAAATCTTAGAGAAACACCCGATTTAACCCAAATGTAGCTTAGTGTCGCCACGAGGGGAAATTACAGGCCTGATGGGTGTTCTGCGAGCAGTTTATACAGGTGGGCTTAACAAAACAGCCAGCACGCCAAATGTGTCTATTAATTTCTGTTGCCAAACAAAGAGGAAAACGGCACATTTGGGACTTTCGCGAGGAGAGGAAGCCATGGGTCGGCTCCTGAGAGCAATCCTGGCTTTGGTGTGTGGTGCTCCGATGTCCAGGCTCAGACCTGCGTTGCGGGCTCCCCAGTCACCCCCGGCCACAGACACCTCTGCTCCTGTGAAAGGCTCCCCAGGTCCCGGTGGACCGGGGCGCAGTGGGAGCCCCCGGGCAGTGGCGTCCTGGCCGCAGTGAGTCTGATGTCCTCACTGGTGAGAAATCAGGGGACCCTGGCCGCTCGCCTCTGCTGTCAGGAGATGATGCCGCCCTTAGTCCCATGAGATTAGGTCAGAGGAGAGAGCCTGGGACGTGTCTGCTTAGGGCTTTTATCCGGCGACTTTGCTGTCCCTATGGGCTGTGTTCTGGAAATGGGGCCCAAGACAGCCCAGGTGGGGGCCGCCTGCTCCTGCTCCTGACCTGCCTTGGGGAGGGTGGGTTCCGCTCTGCCCTGCGCCCATCCGCTGCACCCACACCCATAGCTGCCCTTGTGTTCCCATCCATCTTCACTTCGCCCCCTGCGCAGGGAGGGGAGGGCGTCTGGCTGTGTGGGGACAGAGTTACTAAGGGGTAGTCTGCCGGAATGCCCGCCCGACAGGCCCCTGTCCTGTACACACCTGCTTTCTGCTTTTGAATCAGACCGAGGCTGATGCGGAGGTGCCCCTGGCTTGGGGAGGTCACCCTGAGGCTCTCAGCGCTTCAGTGTCAGAGCCTGTAGCCTAGGCTTACGTCTGAAATCCTGCAGCCCATGACCACGCTCAGGCCGCAAAGCCGGTGTGGCACGCAGGATCCTGATCTAATGTCCCCGGGGACCCTGTCCATGGCCGCAGGCGGGCTCCGCCCACGGGGTCCTAACTCAGCCAGCGCTGTGCCCTCATCACCGTGTTTCCTGCTTAGTCCCCGTCCTCTGAGGAAGTGGACGGTGCTCCCCTCTGCTCCCCAGGAATCCGGCCCGCGGTGCGGCTAAGACTCTCTGTTGAAAGGCTGTATGAACAAATTCAACATTCATAGAACTTGGCCGCAACCTCAACCACTCCATCTAAGTGATGTTTTCCGCTGATACCCTTAGACAGTGCATCCCAAGTGGTTCCCGGTCGAGACCACGAGGTTTCCCTGACTCGGTGGGAAGCTGTAGGACACGAGTGTTCAGTCAAACCCCTCACCTCAGTCCGAGGTGGCGGCCGTGGCTCCGACGCCTCCGCAGTGCTGTCCGTCCGAGGGGAGGCAGGCGTCGGGGCCTCGGCCGCCTCACGGCCTGGAACGAGGGCCCAGGAGCTGTGCCAACGGCCCTCTTGAGGACTGACCAGGGCAGGCGGGCTGTGGGTGCCCCGAGCGAGGTGAGTCCGAGGCCCCACATCAGCTCTACAGCTGGTTGCTCCGCAGCCTCCCAGCAGTTACTTTGCTCAGCGGCTCCCATCTTACAGCTCCCCACCCCCACCCCCCTCACGCTGCATCTGGGTTTCACATTTAGAATGAGTGCTAACGAACAAATGCTGTATTGAGCCCAAATATCCCCACCTTAAAACCTGCCCTGCTCCGCCAGCAGCCCTCCCCACGCATCCCTGTTGTCTCCGACAGCTCTGCTGGGGCCTGCACTGGGGGTGGGGCGTAGGGGAGGTGGGGGGAGGCTGCGGCAGAGGGAGGGGTGCCCACCTGGGGCCGGCTGCCTGGACGTGCTCATGGCGAGTGCTGAAGGGCTGTCTCCCATTTTCAATCTCAGGTCCCAACCGCACCGTTAGACCACCAGGTGGACCACGTCAGAGATAAGCTCCTCTCCCAGGTGAGTGGGAATGAGAAGTGGCTGCATCCAACCCCGCGCCTCCCCGGACAGCTGGGCCGCACCTGCCAGGAGGGGCAGGGGCCCGCCAGCAGGGAAAGGCCAGGCCTGGCTGGAAGACCCTGCTGCATCACCTGTGTGGGCTGTATCCCCAGCAGCACGCTGCTCACCGAAGCCGTGGGTGGGGTGCAGGACACGCCCCAGATGCTGGGCCGTGGGGACCAAGCAATGCTGTGCTCCGTGCAGTCAGCGGGCCCGACCACAGCAGCAGCACCCTCTGGGCATCTGTTCAGAAGGCACTGTCCTAGCCCCACCCCGTGGCCTGGGCGCAGGGAAGGCACTGCTGCTGGCTCCAGACCCCCTGCACCAGCAGGAAGCAACCCCCCCCCCCACAAGCCGCCGGGCCCTCCGTGGGATCCACGCCAGCAACAGAGAAACCCGCAGGCCGAGCGGGGCGGCAGGCCCTGGGCAGCAGGGGCCTTTGCCTGCTGGCAGCAGCTTCCCCGGGCCTCCCCCAGGGGTGGCTGCCACCAGCCCTGACTGGAAGCCCTGGAGCCACTGACCCCAGGTGACTCTGGCTCAGGCGCACTCGGCTCAGCTGACCGCCCTGGCGGTGGTGAAGGAGGCCCGTCCCCCATGGCCTCACGCCCCAGGGCCCTGGTGAGAACCAGGCTCCAGGTCTAAAAAGGGTCCTGGGACCTCAGGAGGGAATAAGTTTAAAACCAAAGACCTACAACAAGTAATTCACCTCCAAAACCTTCACAGAGAAAGCAATAGAACTTGTTTCCATCATTTATTTACCAACATACATCCACATTCACATGAATTCGAGGTTGCAGGCTAGCCCCCCGAGGGTGCAAAGGGCTCAGCCCATGTGGCTACCAGTGGGCATCCCCCTCCCAGCACTACCAGCTGCCTGACATCCTCACAGCCTGCAGAGCCGGAAGCGTGGCTGTCCTTCACTGGCTACACCGGTGTGGAGTCACAGGCGGCGCTGTGCCAGGCGGCGGTGCCTGCAGGCCTGGCTACACCAGCTGTGCCAGTCCGCGGTGCCTGCTGGCCTGGCTACACCAGCTGTGCCAGTCCGCGGTGCCTGCAGGCCTTCTCACAGGAGCTCTGAAATGAACGGACCTCTCACATCGCTACAGACAGCAGCCAAATACAATCAGGTGGCATCCCAGGTGGGTAAACAGTTATATTACTAACTCATTTTAAGGTCAAAATACTGCAATGAAAATAGCCTGCAAAACCCACATAAATTACCTGACGGTCTGTACAGGGTTCCGAGGACACAAACAGCACTGTGCTCTCACAACATGGCTTCCCCCGGACCCAGCACCACTTCCCCTGAAAGCCAGGGCAGCGGGCACACACACACACAAGGCAACTAAAACCACTTCACAAAATACAACATCGCGTGGTTTTTTAAGGCACGTTGTGTTTTAAAATGGGACTGCGGTTCCAGAAGCCTTGCTCACCAGGCCTGGCGGGGGGCAGCGCCCTGTTCCCGCCACTCTGGGGGCTGAAGGGGCTAAAACTGGCGGGCAGCGGCCAGCAGCTCCTGCATCCGCCCCCAGCCGGCTGCCTGGCCAGGCCTGTCCCGAAGTTTTGCAACATTGGATCCACATGCAACAGGTGGGCAGACGCCACCCATTCCCTTCAAAGCACGGGCAATGCCCACGACTCCTCCTCGGGAAAATGCCGACGACCTGGCATCACCGTTCACCCGGCGCCACAGGCTCAAAGCCCAAGGATGGCCACAGCGCAGCTCTGGGCGGAGCACGCGGCGGAGTGACTTCACCTGGCGGGGCGCCAACCGGGCCCGGGCGGGGCGCTGGGGGCTCACTTCTCGAGGGGCTGAAGTTTCCCAGGAGCGAGCCCCGCAGTCCTGACCCTCAGGCTTCCAGCTGGGCCTCGGCCTCCTCCACCTGCAGAGGGTCACTGTCCCCCAGCAGCTCGGTCTCCGGGACGGAGCCGTCCTCCTCCTCCGCCGCCTCGGGCACGGGGCTCTGGGCGCCGTCCTCCGGGCCGTCCCGCGCGTCCTCCGTGCCCTCTGCCAGCAGCGCCGCGCGCTCGGCCACCGACGTGTTGGAAGGCGCGGTGGTCACATACCCGGTGCTGGTGGAGCCGCTGCCGCTGTGGTGCGAGCCGGGCTTGGGCACCATTTGGGCAGGCACCTGCTGCGGGGCCATCTGCAGGGGGATCTGGACGGGGTAGAAGTTGGGCAGGTAGGCCCCGTAGGCCGGCACGGGCTGGTAGCCATTGACTGGGATGTAGAGCTGCGGAGGGGGCCCCAGGGGCCGGATCGGGCCCTTCACGGGGATGAATTGCGGCTGCGGGAAGGGCGGAGCCTTGGGCTTGGGGACCCCGTAGCGGGCGTTGCTGACGCTGACGGGGCTAGTGCTCAGCGAGCTGGTCTGCGTGGCGTTGCTGGCACCCGAGGTCTGCGCGGAGCTGGTGTAGGCGGACAGGCCGCCCCAGGCGCGGAGTCGGCTGTGGATGTCCTTGAAGCGTGGCCGCCGGCCGGGGAACTCGCTCCAGCACTCAACCATCAGGGCGTAGACCCAGGCGGGGCAGTCGTCGGGGCAGGGCAGCAGCTGCCGGCCGCGCACCAGCTCCACCACGTCCTGGTTGGAGTGCCCGCAGTAGGGCTGCAGGCCGTAGCTGAACACCTCCCACAGGACCACACCGTAGGCCCAGATGTCCGAGTCCACCGAGAACTTGCCGTACAGGATGGCCTCGGGCGACATCCAGCGCACGGGCAGCAGCGCGCTGCCCAGCAGCTGGTAGTAGTCGGCCGAGTACACCTCGCGGAACAGCCCCAGGTCCGAGATCTTCACGCTCAGCTTGTCGTCCACGAGCACGTTGCGGGTGGCCAGGTCCTTGTGCACCACGTGGTGGCTGGACAGGTACTCCATGCCGGCCGCGATCTGCGCCACCACGTGCACGAAGTCGGGCGGCTCCAGGGCCGACTTCACCGTGCGGTCGTCGTCCGTGCTGCCCACGTCGGAGTGCGGCGAGCGCATGACCAGGAACTCGTGGAGGTCGCCCTGCGGGCAGTAGCTGAAGACCATGCTGAGCGGCTGGCCCTGGGTCACCACGCCCAGCAGGCAGACGAGGTTGGGGTGCTGCAGGCGCGCACGCAGCAAGGCCTCGTGCCGGAACTCCTCCCGCAGCGGCCCCTCCGCCTTGTCCTTCAGCGTTTTGATGGCCACGGCCTGGGCGGGCTCCCCGGGCGCGGGGCCCAGCAGGCGGCCTCGGTAGGCCTTCCCGAAGCGGTCCTCCCCGAGCTCCTCCATGAACCTCACGGAGGACAAGCTAATCTCCTTGAGCTTGGCCTGCGGGAAGAGAAGCCGGTGAGACGTTCCTGCCACTGCAACCCCAGGGAAGAGGGGAGTTCTGGGGGCTGGGGGGCACCTGCTCGCCTGCCTGCTCCTGGCTCCCTGCCCCCACACTGCTCTCTGCTCTTAAGCACGCCCTCATGGCACAAGCTGCCTGAAACCTTCCACGGATCCTCATCAGGCTGCAAATGATGCCCCAAGAGCAGCTGAGCACCAGGCAGCGGCTGCGAGCACACCTGTTCGCTGCACCTAACCAAGCGGAGCTCAGGCGTCCATCACCCGGGGAGACCTGGCTCTCTCGCCAGCCCCAGTGGGCGGCGACCTCTGCACTTTCAGAGCCCGCCCAGCTGCTCTCCTGGTGCTTCCTCTCAATTAGGTAATTTTCCACGGACGCACCACGTGAGTGAAATCCATGCGAACCTGCACCTCAGCTTCTAGCTTCTCGCCCTTCTGTGTCTGGCCCCCATCCTTCTGGGAGCTTCCGTGGCCCCAAGGGACTCCATGTCCCCCTTGCGGTCCAGCCACCCACCCCTGCCCTGAACACTACATGGCCCCTGGAAACAGAGCTGAAGGAGCCCCTCCCCTTCAGAGTCCGTGGCCCCCCAGGCGGAGCGGCCAAGCACCAGGGAGGGACTGGCACTGCTTTTGGTCCTCACCATCCTGACCCCCTGGGGTGGGGGCTGTCCCCACTTCCTCTACAAGACTGTTGGCTCCATCCTTCCCTGAAAATCACACGCAACCAAGCAAACAAACCACACCCCAACTGAGCAGGAAGCAGGACCAGCCCCTTAAAAATGCCATTTTGACCTCAGGTGGTGGGGCCCTGCCAAGCCTTCTGGTGCCCGGTGGGCACAGCAGAAGCTCTCGTGTGAGGGCGGCTCGGTGGGCTCGGGCCGAGGGTGCAGCCCGCTGCCAGGACAGGAGTTCCAATGCCCACTACGCATTCCCTGAGGGCACCAACGTGCTGGCATGTTTCAGAGAAGAAACAACAGAATGATAGGCAGTTGAAGAGGTAAGTGTGGAGCGTGGAGCACGGTAAGAAAGCCGGCGGCAGGCGGAGGGGCGGCGAGACCTGCTTGTGCGGGCCCATGAGGGGCAGCTCCACGTCCTGGCTGGGCGACGCCATCAGCTGCCGGCGCGGGGGCGCGGCGGCCGACGCCTTCTGCTTGTTGCGGCACATGCAGACCAGGAAGAAGAGGCAGGCGACCACCAGGGGGATGGCGATGCTGGGCACCAGGATGTACAGGATGCCCATCCTGCTGCCGTCCTGGGGGCCTGTGGGCGGCAAGGCATCCGTGAGCTTCAGAAAACATCGCCTTTAACAGCCCCTCCCACCTCCAACCGCAACATTTAAGCACATGAGGGTATCGGGTCAGCTGCACGAAGGACAAAATTACAGCCCAGCCTGAAAAGCAAGGGCGATGCACACTACACACTGCGGAATGGGCCCTGAGCCACCCCTGGGAGCAGTGGGAATGCGGGCACCGACAGGTGGCTCCCAGCTCCCACCCCGGCTTTTCCTGCACACCCCCCTGGAGACAGCTGCGGCCAGGTTCACGTTCATGAAACCCACGTCCTCAGTGAAGGAAGCTCAGGATTGGGATTAGAAATGACCTGTTCTTCATCCCGTACACTAGGATGGGCCACATTTTTTAATATCAGTATGTTCTCTTAGGACAATGACTAGAAGAGCATTTAAGTGCCACCGACCAACCAGGGACCCAGGCAGCAGGGGCACAGAATCCGGAAGCGCCATCCTGCAGGGCCAGGAGGGGAGCAGGGCCAAGAGGGGAGCAGGGCCAGGAGGGGAGCAGCACTCTGCCTCCCCCTCAGGGCCAGGAGCAGCGGCCCCAGAGTACGCACATGGGCGCGGTGCCCTGTGACCAGTGGACAATGAGCTCTCCACCTGGAAGGTGATAAGCAGTTTCTGGCCAACAGTCTCTGGAGGAGCTAATCCACCTCTACCGCCACTACAGTCACACAGCCGTGTCCCAGACCCGGCCTGGCCTCCTGGCTCCCAAATGAAATAAGGCCACACAGGCCGCTCCGGGCCTCCGGGGGCAGGTGGTCTAGAAGCCCCGGGCAGTGCAACTCAATTTTCATCACCAGGGCTCGGGGAGCATCCACAGCCTCAGGCCACCGTCGGAGGTGTGAGCCCGCCCAAACACGGGTATGACATTTATCTTATCGTTATCTTTTTAAAATTACACTCAGCCGATTTGGCTCAGTGGTTAGAGTGTCGGCCCACAGACTGAGGGATCTCGGGTTTGATTCTGGTCAGGGGCACGTACCTCAGTGGCAGGCTCGACCCCTGGTCCCAGTCAGGTGTGTGCAGGAGGCAACCAATCCCTCCCCTCCGTCTACTCTCCTTAAAGATCAATGGGGAGAATATCCTCGGGACAGGATTAACAAAAATAAACAAACAAATAAAATCACAAACAGCCCGTGCGTGTTAACAGCTGTCCTATTCCTAACAGACCACGTCACCAAAGGCTATGCCATGGCCAAGAGGTTGCTGTCCCCCTGACTTTAAGTTGAACACGGAATAACAATATTCAACTATTTTTATACATAGAAGCGTCAGTTTCATAAAATAGAAGTTTGAGTTCATAGAGTCACATCGTCCACATCCCGCTTCTGGTTTTGTGGCAGAAAAATGGACCTGGCGCTGCTCTCAGGACAGACAGCTCCGGGCGCCCCCTGGTGGCCATGCATTAGCCTGTGTACCACCAGCCCCTTCAGGCAAACAACTTGTCTGCTTCTTATTCAGCCGTTACAAGTAATTCTGTAACAAATATCCTTGCATTTCTGCCCTCTAGCTACAAATATTTCTGCAATATAAGATCCCTGCGATTGCTGGGTCAAAGAACATGCATTTTTTTCCCTTTATGTTTTGATTTTGTTTTAACTACAAAAGTAATAACTACTCATTATAACGTTTTATATTTTAATGTATCTGTAAGTCATGGGAAATCACTGCTAAAAGTTTGATGTGCATCTTCCCCAAACTTCACCCTGAAATATAGGGCTTATGTGCATGTGCATGCATGCACACACGCGCACACATACATGCACGCACACACGCGCACACATGCATGCATGCACACACGCGCGCACACACAGAGCTTTCTTTCTTTTTGTTTTTCTGAAAACAGAAAGGGAAAAGAAAGGAGTTAAGAGGCGGGAGGGACAGAACACAGCTAATGGCCTGCAACTTGCTCCTGCTCCTGCACCGATCATGCACATCCTTGCAGGACACTCTCAGAGCCTGTAGCCCTCCACCGGGTAGCTGTGCGGTAATCTAACTGACATCTCCACGCCTGACGTTTACTCCGCAGTGAACATGCTGCTGAAGATGTGCTGGGCGGCCAAGCAGTGGGCGTGGCAGGTCTGGACCCGCAGCGCAGTATGCAGGCTGGAGGCAGGCCCCGCCACCGCTGCTGGCAGAGGCTTCTGGGCGGCTGGTGAGCCTCGGTGCGCTTCACCCATTCCCTCCCGATCAGTCTTCTCCTGGTGATTTCCCTCCAACCCTCTACTCCAGGCTCCAAAATGGAAAACTCAGGAGCAGCCCGATCTCAGGGATGCAGCCAAGTGGAGCTGGTGGGAGCAAATGTTGGAATACAGGATAATAATGTTTGCAGAGTTTGCAACCATTAACGCCAAGGTCTTCTCCTTTTCATAATCCAACAGAGAAACTGCAGGGCCCATGGGTAAGAGATGTAGGTTCTACTCTCATTCTGCTGAGCTGCGTGGGAGCTGGGGAGGCCAGGCAGGGCCCGGTCAGACCCCGGCGAGGAGCTGCCTCCCGGGGCCCCAGCTAACACTGGGAAATGCCAAGTAATAATGTTGATGGAGAAGCAAGATGCAAACTGAATGTCCCAGGACCATGCACAGGAAAAGGGCTGGCAGGAGCCAAATGCAAACAGTGAGGAAATTAGGGGTGATTTGTACATGACTCTTCAGACTGTTCTATGATGTAAAGGTGCTATAATGACCAGCTATTACCTTTATAACCAGCAACAGTTTTACATAAAACAAGCGATCGTGGCCATGGAGGGGGCGGTGACAGCACCAGCCCCCGGGCCAGGGCAAACCAAGTGCACGCAGCAGAGAGAACCTACTGCACGGGGGCACGTCGCACAGCTCCATGGGCACGTTCTTGTTCTTCGTGAAGCACCAGGGCCCTTCCATCTGCCCTCCGGGGTTCCGGCAGTAGGCGTGCCCCCCGCCGAGCTCCGGGAAGTCTGCACTGCTCAGGTGGTGGCTGTGGGGGTGCTGCAGAGCCCACGGCTGGCACTGGTGCCCTGACTTGGTGGTGCTCGCCGTCCCTCGGTAGTCGGTGCCCGAGCCGTTGTAGCACTGATGGTCTGAGAGGGGAGAGAGGTTAGGAGCCGATGGAGAGCGGCAGCCCCGCTCGGGGAGAGCACCTCAGGCTTTAGGACACGGAGCCAGTAGCCCGCAGGCACTCAAACTGGGGTCTCCAATGACAGAGGCTTGTATATTAAAAATAATTTAACAAAGCCCCAAACTCACTAATTCAACTGGGGTGCACCAGGGACATATGTGGGGAAGGAAAGTTGCCAGAAGTGATCCCACGACCCTGGAACCAACTTTGGGACCAACACCCGGCACCCCCACTCCGGCATGAGCTCAGCCAGCCGCGTGTTCACGGGCTCTGGAAGCAAAGCCAAACTGCAGGAGAGGGGCTGCCAGCTGGCCACCCTCAGACCCCTCACCAGGGAGCACGGCTCAGCTCCGTCTGGGGGTGGGGGGACCGCCCTCTCCCAGCCAGGCCTGGGGTTAGGAGTTACTAGTCGCATGTAACAGGTGGAAGGATGTTTAAGCAACTTGTCCAACGTCGCACCGAGTAAGCCCTGCAGCCAGGATTGGGGAGCACAGCAGGCCAGCGAGCAGGCTCCGGTGTCAGAAGGAGCCCCGCCCACTCGGGGAAGCCCTGGCCTAAGGAAGGACCAGCCTCTGCCCTGGTGCCCTGCCGGCCGAGCCTCCGTGTTTGTGGCCGGCAGGCAGATTACTCCGCCGCAGGGAATGGCGTCTGAGGCTCGGGGAGGTGGTGACTTACTGGTGTCCCAAGGACAGGCAGGGGCCAGCGCGGTGTGGCCTGGGCTGCCCGTACCTGCTCTGGAGCCCTCCCGCAGGCCCTACTGGAAGGAGTGGCCCTGGGCCGGGACTCACAGCGGCCCAGCCGCTCCGCTGGGATGCCGATGCGCATGCAGTCGGCGGCGGCGGGGCTGTCGGGCATGGGCAGCGCCTCGCACTTGGGCAGCTGCAGCCGCATGAGGATGAGCGGGTTGGAGCGCGCGATGGTGTACTCCTGGCGGCACAGGTCGCTCTCCAGCACCTCGCACTCGTCGCGGCACAGCTCGCGCGGCTTGGGCGCCCGTGACCGCGCGTCACACAGCGGGAACACGAAGTGGCAGAAGGACGGGATGGCAAACTGGGAGCACTGGTCCGACAGGTGCGTGAGTTGCCGATCATGTGA